TTGAGTATTATACTTCTACTTACTCCAGTAAACAAGACTATACTTTACTTTTAACTCAAGTACAAGATCTGAGTACTTATACTTTTACTCAAGTACAAGATCTGAGTACTTCTACTTAAAACTCATACATGTGTTCATTAATATTTACACAACACCTCAGGGATGAAATGTCTTAGCGTCCTGACGTCAACAGGAGATAGCCCACAGTCTTCTTATTTGTCGCTGTTCTCTCTCAGACAGTCACACATATTGTCTCTTGTTTATTTCACCCTGAAGCATTTTAATGTAATCTCTCTCGTTCATTGCAGATTTTCATAACTGAACCTCAATTTAATTTCATGTGTTCAAACCATTTCACAAACGATGGCAGTAGTAGCAGAGTGAGATGTTTATCTGAAGGAAGTCAAACCTATTGAATCCGTCATCTTGTTTATTATAATGCATTTTTTTATTATGATTATTATTTGTAGTTTTTTCTACATATTTTTTCCTTTTTTTTCTAATATTAATATTTTTTTGATTACTGTTTTTATTGTTTGTTATAATTATAATTAATATTATTATTATTGTAGTTAGGTCAAGTGGTTAGGTACAGTAGTCCATTAAAAAAATCATCATCGGTTATTAGATTAATAATGAGTCAGACAAATATTGAAATATATTATGCCAATTTTTCCAAAAATAATTCTCTCTTGGAATATTCCATCATCTGAATTTTTCTTTGGTTTTGAGTAAAATAATTCAACTCATAGACGTCTTAAAACATATTAACGATTAGCAGGCACTGCAACCCAGCGGACCAGGCCTGCCCAACTGAGGAGGGTAACTTATATACGTGGTGAATTATATTTGCCATTTTAACACTTTACATGAATTGACATTTTAAACTGTTTCCAACACTTGTTAAATAAAAGCTGCGTTATATTTTTGGAATTCATGCCTCTGTCATAATTGAACCTATTAAGGGAGGCTTTAAAATCGGTCCACGACATACACTTACATTTAGGGTCCACGGGTTCCTCCTGCCCCTTAGCAGGAGTGGGCGTTGTCAGTGACTAGCTTACATGTGGTAACCTCAGTCACGGTTACCACATTTTGGTACCACCACTAGTGTGCCCTTGAGTAAGGCACTAGTGTGCCCTTGAGTAAGGCACTAGTGTGCCCTTGAGTAAGGCACTTAGCCTCAGTTACTCCAGGGAGAATGTCCCTGTAATTGGTCATTGTAAGTCGCTTTGGATAAAAGCGTCAGCTAAATGAAATGTACTCTTTAAAACAGCTGCTAGTTATGGGTACTTTTTACTGAAGTACATTTCAAAGCCCTCTTTACTTTTACTTGAGTAAAGAAGTTTAGTCAGTACTTCTACTTCTACCAGAGTATTTTAAACACGAGTATCTGTACTTCTACTTGAGTAAAGGATGTGTACTGCAGCCCTCTGTGCTCTGATATAAAAACCTTTGAATTGAATTGAGAGATAGAAAGTTAGAGGGAAGTTCCTCTTACTTCCAGCAGGAGTCTCACAGCCTCAGTCTTCCCACAAAGAGACGCTTCATGGAGAGCTGTTCCTGCCTTCGTCTGACGGTTAATGTCAATACCAGCCTGGATGAGGAGTCTGAGGAAGAGGAGGAGGAGGAGGAGGAGGAGGAGGTGGAGGAGGAGGAGGAGGAGGAGGTGGAGGAGGAGGAGGAGGTGGAGGAGGAGGAGGAGAGAGGAGGAGGAGGAGGAGGAGGAAGCAGACAAAAAAGGATGCAGAGAAGAGATTTAGGAAAGAGAGAGATAAATTGTGTGTAAAAGTGTGTGTGTGTGTGTGTGTGTGTGTGTGTGTGTGTGTGTGTGTGTGTGTGTGTGTGTGTGTGTGTGTACCTGATGATGTCTATGTGTCCGTTCTTAGCGGCCAGGTGCAGAGGAGACGTCCCGTTGGGGTCCGTCGTGTCGCCTTTCTTAGGCTCCAGGAGAGCAGCACACATGTTACTGGAGAGCAACAACTGCACCACCTGCACACACACACACACACACACACACACACACACACACACACACACACACACACACACACACACACACACACACACACACACACACACACACACACACACACACACACACACACACACACACACACACACACACACACACACACACACACACACACACACACACCAATACCAAAGTATTAGCTAATAATCAGAATCTGTAAGAAGCTGTCAGAAAAATGAAGTGAAGGAGAAAGTATAATACTGGCTTCCAAACTGTGGTGGAGTAGAAGTATAAAGGAGTATAAAATGAAGAGTACAAGTACATCTAACTTGTATTATATTAAAGTACTTGAAGTGTGTTCTCACCCCGACTCTCCCGAACTCACAGGCCAGGTCCAGAGGAGTCTTCCCAGCGTTGTCCACGATGCAGGGGTTGGACTGATGCTGCAGCAGCATCTCAGACTGCAGGGGGAACAGGGGTTAGATCACTGATCACTGATCAGGCCTCGGGACACACTTTTTTCCTTTGTCAATAAGTCGCGACCCGAAATGTTGAACCACTCAAATCTATTCAACAAAAAATCGTGCTGCAATATATAAGCTTTTTCAGCATACAATATGAATTAAAGTGAAATACAGTGCATATATCGCTTATATCCAGACCCGGCGCCGTGGGAGGGCCAGATGTGTGAGTTCTTCACTCACACATCTGCGTCCCATCAGTTGAGAACCACTGGGTTAGATTATATACATTTAATCAAAATCCCAATATAGACAGGTGCAATATCCAAACAGCATGAAGCGTTTGATATATATTCTGAAACGGACCAATCTGCACAATGACTACTTTTACTGTCGCTACTTTCACTATATTTTGATGAGAATACTTTTCTACTTTCACTTGAGGAACATTTTGAATGCAGGACTTTTACTGTAACAGAGTATTCCTACACTCTGGTACTTCTACTTTTACTGAAGTACAAGATCTGAGTACTTCTACTTTTACTGAAGTACAATATCTGAGTACTTCTACTTTTACTCAAGTACAAGATCTGAGTACTTCTACTTTTACTGAAGTACAAGATCTGAGTACTTCTACTTTTACTCAAGTACAATATCTGAGTACTTCTACTTTTACTCAAGTACAAGATCTGAGTACTTCTACTTTTACTCAAGTACAAGATCTGAGTACTTCTACTTTTACTCAAGTACAAGATCTGAGTACTTCTACTTTTACTACAAGATCTGAGTACTTCTACTTTTACTCAAGTTCACGATTTGAGTACTTCTACTTTTACTCAAGTACAAGATCTGAGTACTTCTACTTTTACTCAAGTACAAGATCTGAGTACTTCTACTTTTACTCAAGAACAAGATCTGAGTACTTCTACTTTTACTCAAGTACAAGATCTGAGTACTTCTACTTTTACTCAAGTACAAGATCTGAGTACTTCTACTTTTACTACAAGATCTGAGTACTTCTACTTTTACTCAAGAACAAGATCTGAGTACTTCTACTTTTACTCAAGTACAAGATCTGAGTACTTCTACTTTTACTCAAGTAGAAGATCTGAATACTTCTACTTTTACTCAAGTTCACGATTTGAGTACTTCTACTTTTACTCAAGTACAAGATCTGAGTACTTCTACTTTTACTCAAGTACAAGATCTGAGTACTTCTACTTTTACTCAAGTACAAGATCTGAGTACTTCTACTTTTACTCAAGTACAAGATCTGAGTACTTCTACTTTTACTCAAGTACACGATCTGAGTACTTCTACTTTTACTCAAGTACATGATCTGAGTACTTCTACTTTTACTCAAGTACACGATCTGAGTACTTCTTCCACCTCTACTTAAAACTCATACATGTGTTCTTTGTGTTTACAGAACACCTCAGGGATGTAATAATGTGCCGTCCTGACGTCAACAGGAAATAACCCGCAGCCTTACTTTCTGACTGAGCGTCTGAACAGAGCGACCACAGTCTCGTAAACACACCTCCTGCTCTCTCTCCGTCTTTAACACAAATCACTTCTCTTGTTTATTTCACCCTGAAGCGTCGACAGCACAAATGGGTCATTTCAATCATCTCTCTCATTCATTGCAGTTTTCTATGAACGGAAACTCAATTGAATTTCATATTTTCAACTCATAACTTTAATTGAAATCCCAATATAGACGCAGTGCAGTATCCAAATAGCATGAAGCGGGAATATTTTTTCAATATCATTTAAAAGACATAATATGTGAAACTTTGCAAATTAGCATTAGTATCATTACTTATACACCACTGTATATATATATATATTTTGTATTAATTGTTTGTATAAATATATATTTTTTCTGTTTTATTCTATCTTTTTATTTCACATTTTTGCCTTTACTTCGTTGTTTTTATAAATATGTTTAGTTTTTAATTAATTTATATTTTTCTTTTATTTGCATTAACTTCTTATTTTTACATAAACATTATTAATACATTTTATTGTTTAGATGCACAGTATTTATTTACATTCGTAGAGTTTTATTCAAAATGATTCCACTTTTCTACTTAATATATATATTATTTTTAAATGTGTATTATTGTATCTTTTGATTTTCATTTATTATTATTTATTTATATATGTATTATTATTTATTTATTTATTGACATAGAGTTGTATGAATCCCTTTTTCTCCTGGGATAAATAGAGTATTCTGCGTCTGATTGGCTGACCTTGTGTTTTTAAACAAACCACAGCATCCTAATGAGAGAGCTGTTAATTACTACTTGATTTTACACAGTGGTGTAGCTGGGATGTTTTTACTGGGTGGACGCTATTTTAATGAGGTCATCCCAAACAATGCCACAAGTGCCCACGCGCGCAGTGCACTCACAGACCGGGCAGACAGGTCTACAGAAACTACCGGTATGCTTAGTCCTACTGCACTGCAAAAAGCAGACGGCGCTGCGCTCAACACACACACACACACACACACACACACACACACACACACACACACACACACACACACACACACACACACACACACACACACACACACACACACACACACACACTCTAAACCATCGACACACCGGCACATCAGTTACATAAACAATTTATAGGCCTAAGTTGCATAAATGCCTGCCATTATAGAGAGTTTGCGTTCTTGAGGGTAAGAGCTGCTGGTGGGGTCACCCTGGGGTCACCCTGGGGTCACGAGCGTGAGAACGAATCATCATTTTTTAAGGAAATCGTTTTTATTTGTTGTTATAATTACTGTGAAATGTATTATGATTATTACAACAAATACACACTTGCAACTGATAACACTGGCAATGATTTTATATTTATTAGACTATTCAAAAGAAATCATGCTTCAAAAAAGTGGGGGCTCCAAATAAGTGGGGGGACGGCGACCCCCCGCGTCCAACGACCACTACACCACTGCTTTTACAGCTTTTAGACCAGGGGTCTCAAACTCAAGGCCCGGGGGCCAAATCCGGCCCGCTACTTCATTTTATGTAGCCCCACAAGAGCTTGCAAAGAATATAATACGTTTATTATACGGTTACATGCCACTTTACAGAAGCAGGTTGCCCATAAACTACATGTCCCACAATGCATCTCGTTTTGTGACATGCGCACTGAAGAGACTTGAAATTATTTGCCCTGGACTTCTGCTTTCAGATGTAGTTAATTAATAAGTTATTATCCTATCCGATAATAATCCAATTCAGAGGCAATAATGTAATATAATACATTATTTTATATATATATATTATATATTTATATAGTTACAACCGGCCCTTTGAGTGCAACCTTTATGCGAATGTGGCCCGCAATGAAATTGAGTTTGACACCCCTGTTTTAGACCGTTTTGTCTCCGAGTTGAGCTGAAGAGATTCTGCAGCTCTGTGACTTCATCGCCTTGTTAAACTCAGAAAGACTTAAAGGGATGAAGGAATTACACCATTGTGCTTTCTAATTCTCCCTAAAACTGGGACAAATTACGGGAATAATCCACATTAAACTCGCTGGTCTCACACACACTTGTTGTTAAAGAAGAATGTGTGTCAAATCTGGTCGTTCAATGATTCATGTTTTAATCTGTGGTCTGTTTCAGTTTTTATAATGTATTATGTATGTGCCCTCACACACCGGGAGCAGCTGGATTACAGCAGTGTGTATAAATCATAGATATTTAATTAAACAGCAGCTCTGAATGAGTCTGATATATTTGCTGCTTTGAGGAGCCTGCAGCGGCTCTGCAGTTTCCAGAGATTGCTTTTCTGAACCTGAAAAATGCAATTTCTTTACCTTCTGTTTTCATTTGTTTCTTAACTCGCTTTCCTATGCATTCCTTTCTTTGACAAAGGGAAAGTGGGCACTACGCTGACAGCAGTGACCATTAAACTCTCTGAATAATAACGAGATATGAGTGATATCCAGGGTTTAGTCTGCACCGGGTAACATGTCTTGAGTTTAGGCCCCAATACTGTTAGAGCAGCATGTACAAATACATGGCAAATTAATTCAAAGAAACTAAACTAAATTCAAAGGGAAGTAGTTGCAGTTTTCAATAAAAAAATGTAATTAAATGATATCATGTTTGAGTACAATATGCACAACTTGTATATCCTGTGATGTTATTTTGCTCATTTTGCAAGCTGAATTATTTCAAAAAAGGTTACAAATATCAGAAAGCTTTAATGATATTTATATTTTATTATTTATATAGGATAAAAAAAAAGGTCCATCTTAACTTATCCAGGGTTTAGTTTGCACCGGGTAACAGGAGCGCTGCCCCAAAATGCAGATGTTCCCCGTAAAATGTTAACGTGATGCCAGAAAACAATATTTCTGTTTGTCAAAAACGGTATAATTCCTCCAGAAATATGAGTTTCAAACAGAGCGTCAGACGGGAGGGACAGCTTTGTTTTTACGGAGCTCCGACGTCACGATCTTGTTTACGGGGTCATGTTCTCCAGAGAATTTATATATCTTATAGACAAGATCAGAGACACAGTATTGCCCTCATATAATAGTTTATATTATACCGATACTATTGACATGTACCGATAATACATAAGCAATGTTATCAGATCTTAATCGAGAGAATTGATACATTTTTTATCAGCCACAGTATCATACTATATCTTTCTATTAACACCCCTGGTATTATTGCAATTTATTGCACGGCTTAGTTGAATACTCCATTCTGATTGGTCAATTTGGACAGTCCTGAGGTTGTTATTTATTGTTGCTAGCAGCCTGTTGCTAGGCAGAACAGAACGTTGCTCAATGCACAGAAAGAAGTCCGGTCAATTTAACGTCAGCTGTGGACAAACATTAGTCTATTTTCATCTGGACGACACTCTGGATTCACGACGGGCTAAACTGTCCCAACTGAAGAAAAAGAAAAAGAGACCACGAGTTTAGAGTTAATTATTATGTGATGTGTCCCTCACCACGTCGTAGTGTCCGTGCTGCGCCGCCAGGTGAAGAGGAATCTCGCCCTCGTCTGATTGGCCGTTC